TATAATTACTACATAGCGTATTTCATCTGCAGGAGAATGTTGTAGCTGTATGGCATGTACCAGGATGTGAAGAGGACCCAACTCTTTTACACCAGCTGTCTCACCCTGCAAATGTCAATGATATTCAGGTTTGTATTACTTTAATATTGTTCTAAATGTGAACACGGTTTTGTTAATGATACTGATTTTGATAGACTTTCTTTCTTTATTTATTTTTTATGGTACAAATATTTTCCCTCGACAGTATGTCACAAGAGAAGCATTTGCGACTGCAGGAGGTAATGGAAGTGTTAAGCTTTTTCAACATAGCAACAATGACCAGTTAGAAAGTAAAGCCACTTGGGATCGCATACACACTGTTCTAGGAGGTGAGGTGCACATATTAGACTTAAGTCTTGTTAGTATACTGTTAAAATCTTTCTAAATCCTTTCAGTCAACAAAATGTATCTAGAAATGCAGAGATTCTTCTAAAACTCAAGTGATTAATAAATAAGTAGCTGTAAAATCAGTTGTAATATTGTCTAGATATTTATTTTTAGGGGCTTTTATTTTATTAGTTATTAATAGTGGCACAGATGTGAATTAAATTGTATGTTTTTTATTTGCTTTTTAGAAAGGAAAGCAAACAAAAATCATTTACACTCTCATCACTTGATATCCTGTGCAGTAAGATATATTATTTCCATAATTCATCTCATTTAAATAAAATCCTTTCCTATAAATTAAATATGTTTTGAGCTCCTGAGAGACATGAGATAGTGATTGCTCATCCTCATAACCGTTACATGAATTGTAAAGTGTTCATGGGTAGGATGGAGTTCCAGTGATCATAATTATTTACAAAGTAAAATCTCTATCTGTTTTGAGTAAATTTCAAAAATGGATTCTATTCCAGGCCCAGTTCCATGTACAGCATTAGCCACTAATGGTGACCAGATAGCATCTGTTGGTGAAGATGGCAATTTAGTTATTTTAAATCCTAATCAGAATCAACCTGTACGACGCATTGGTAAGTTTTAAATGATAAAATATCTTTTGTGAGCCTTGACTTTGTATATGTCATATTGCTTTGTTCTTTGTAGCAAAGATTTAGTATAAGAATTGACTAAATTTAACACAATGGCGCCGGGTGTACAAAAGAAAAAAAAAAACTCTACGCTTAAACAAACAAAGGCGGCGCGCCGACTTTGAGTGCATGAGTAGGGGACATCAGCCCGAATCACTGGCTTGCCGCGCTTTGGCGCGCCGCCAGCTCGTTCGGCTGCACGCCAGCTTTCGGGCTCTTTGTGTACACGCCGATCGGCGTCACCCGGCACCAAGGGGTTAAGGGGGAAATCAGCTGTGTATGGAAAATATGCCTTAGTTTAGTAACCATAAGGATTAACACACACATGCACACAGTATCTCTCTCTCTACTGATTACAAATATTCAAGACAAAGCGAAAGTGCCACATGGCATATCACTTAAGGTTTAGTATAACGGAATATAGAGTTAGTAAAAACTTAACCCATCCGCCCCGTATATATGTTTTGTCCCCTGTAGTTTTTGATGAATTTTGTTACATACAGATGGCTCCACATGTGCTCAGCTGACAATGAGGCTATCAGTAGGCCCTAGTTACCGATCCTGATTTTCCCATTCCTTGAATTGGTGGGAAATTTTTTTTCTTATTAATACCATTGCTATCGATGTTATGATGTTATGATTATTAAATTGTCATTAAAATATTTTAGAAGATGAAATTATACAAAAGACCCTTTGCTAAAGTGAAGGAAAAGGGTAAACAGGTGAGATAGGTAGTTCTGACAAACTGGCTATTTGGTGATTAACCCAATGGCGCCGGGTGTACAAAAGGGAAAAAAAACTCTACGCTCTAGCAAACAAAGGCGGCGCACCGACTTTGAGCACACGAGTACAGGACGTCAACCCAAATCACTGGCTCGCCGACTTTGAGCTCGCGAGTACAGGACGTCAACCCGAATCACTAGCTCGCCGCACTTTGGCGCGTCACCAGCTCGTTTGGCTGCACGCCAGCTTTCGAGTGGTTTGTTTACACGCCTATCGGCGTGACCCGGCACCAAGGGGTTAAGAACTTGTAGAGCTATCTATGTGTAAATACAAAAAATAAACATATATTGCAGTGGGCATGGCATGTAATCTTGCCTCATGGGGCGAATGGGTTAAACGTTACTCTCATACAGTAAAAATTCACACTCAATATGCTTAGACGTGTTTGATTGATTCTACTCCTTATTTTGAATATTTCTTCCATAGGTTATAAATATGTTTTGGTTAATTATGATTAGTACAACAGTTGACAGGGGATTATGAAAAGTAATTTTTAACTAACCTCCATTTTATTACAGGTTCCATTTCAGTATTTACACAATTTAGGTCTGAAATAAAATCAGCTATATCCTACTTTCAGAGAGTGTGGGTGGTTGTAGCATGTATGCAGTAGTGTATGTCCGTGCCAGTGAGGTAGTCACAGCCAACATGCAAGGCCACCTTAAGTTATGGGATCTGCGGGCCCAGCAGCCAGCTAGAGCAACTCTTCTCAGCCCAGATCAGGTTAAATTTTATAGAAATCAATTTACTTGTACCCATATATGAAGTTACTGACTTAAGATAAAGCAAACTGTATTTCCTCTTGCCTACCTTTCTCTTCTCTCTCCTCTTCCCTTCTCTCTCATCTTTTTAACTATTATTCTCATTCCCATCCCTCCTTTACCTCACATGAAAGTCTATAAATTTGAAACAGGAAAGAAAACAAGTGTTCAAAAAAAATGTTAACTTTTACTTGCATATCCAGCTGTGGAATAATAATAATATATATTCTCTCTTTCTCTCTCTCTCTCTCTCTCTCTCTCTCTCTCTCTCTCTCTCTCTCTCTCTCTCTCTCTCTCTCTCTCTCTCTCTCTCTCTCTCTCTCTCTCTCTCCTCCCCCCCCCACACACACACAATCCTTGTTTGGGGCATAACCACGGTGTCGGGAACCACTGCCCTACATCCTATCCTCATCCCTTCTCTCTGACCTCTTCCACCTCACCCTCCCATCCTGTCCTTTCCACTCATCCCACCCTCCATTCTTTGTTTCCCTCTCCCTCCCTTTCCCTTTTCCTCCTGATTTTTAATGTATTTTCCTTGCCTGATTTCATAGAATTTTCTTTCCAGATTGCAGTATGTCACCTTGCAGGACACCCAACTCAGCAGCACCTTGTGGCAGCTGGAGGAGAAGATGGAGCTATGGCCATATGGGACATGAGGAATATAGCTCAGCCTGTCACTCTCATTTCTGCACACAATGGACCAAGTTAGTGCTCTACATTAGAAACACAACAGTTGATGTATACTTTGTGAACGCTACACAGCAGAGGCAGGATATAAAGTACAAGGTGACAGAGAGGATACATGAGTTAAATTCAGTTGCTTGCTTTCTTCTCTCATTGTGGTGTTTATTATTTTCCAGTTACTGAAGTACGGTTCCACCCAGCAGCACCCGATCATTTGTTTACATGTGGTTTAGATGGTCAACTTTTGCATTGGGATGCTTCTGCCTCTGCACGGCCTACATCTGTGTCTTTCAAGGGATCTCGTGATCCTACAGGTGAGTTATGTTTGTTTTTAGTGTGAGTGGAGAGAGAGAAAGTGAAAGAGAATGAATGAATGAATGAATGAGAATGCGAGTGGGTGCATGCATATTCATGTGTATGCAAGCATGAATGGGTATGTGTACTGTGCACATCTGTATCAGTTTTTGTTATTGTATGTTTTCATTTTATGAAGAGGATCCATTTTTCATTTGGTATCTTTTCAAAGGGACATGCAAATTTTTATGTAAAGACCTCATGTAATTATTAGGCTAGCATCATTTATTCTTTATATTTTATGCTCATACTTTTGAACTTCATCTAAAAAATATATATATATTTATAATGTCATCAACAGGAGCAAGTATCACAGTCTGGCTAAGCAGCGATGTTGCCCGTGGAGCCATTGACACCACATGTATAATTCCACAATCGTCTTTACCTATCAACTCGCTGGACATTGAGGGCCCAACACTGATTGCTGGTTCAGACAACGAGTCCATTTATACAGTCAGAAATGTGTTGCTTTATTGAAGTTTGTTAACATTTACTTTGAAAATTATGTTTATAAAGATTGTCTATTGAAACTGAATTCTACTTATGTACTGAAAGTTTTAATATGATTTAATCAAGTATTTTTGTGTGTCTGTTATGGCATCATTACCAAATAATTTAGTCATCATTATGCAAAGCTACATTGAAAACCTTTAGGTGCTATTCTGATATACAAAAATTAACTGTTTCTTCTCTTTCCTATAGACTATAACATTTTGTATAGCACTCATTTCAATTTAGTTAATAAAGCAATGTTCATGTAATTTATTGGCAGTTGATATTCAGATTTATTCACTTCAAGTACAGGGGGCCATGATATATTTTACCTGTGTTCATTTGTTTGTTTATTGTTCATCTTAAAATGTACTTTTTGTATCTTGAAAATAAAAGACCTTATAGTACTGTAAATGTTTAATATTCATCATAAAACATGATTCCTGTCAGTCATCCTTACACTGCAAAAAACAGCAGCTTCAGATACATTTCATATGTTATTTGCAAACCTATAATGCAAATTATACTAGAATAAGTCTAAAAGATATCTCTGAAGAAAAAAAAAAGAGGGAGTATCTAGCAATTACGACAGATTTAGAATTCTTTGGCTCACTTCGTATCTTGTTTTTCAAATCTGGGTATAAAAAAAATATATAGATCCCAAAGTATCTCAAAAAATTTAAAAGAATGAAGATGGTTTGTTTCCTGGAAACCCTTAAATATTCCTAATATATTTTGTACAAAAAATGTGAAATGGAATTGGAATCAATCTCCTGACTATTTCCACTCTCCTTCGAGTGGGTTATAGATCCATAAATACTAAGAATACCTGAATATATCCACATTTAGTCTAAAAAAAAAAAAAAAAAGAAAGAAAAAAAAAACGGAACCCCACCCAATTGTTTTATGAATATGAAGTTCAAAGACATCACAATTTTGTGATCATTACTGCTCGATCATAAAAATATATAACATTAATCTAATAAATAATACTCAGATCCAAATACCTGGCCACCTACAAAGACCTTGTCAAGATTACCCTAAATAATATATATTAAAAAAAAAAAAAGCACAAATATTCACAAATAAATAAATAATCCTTTTGATACATTACTAGTAATGTTCTTATAAAGTTGTTTTAAAACTATTCTTTAATATGATATTAATAAACAAAAAATCAAGGGGGTGGAGCTGAAATGATGCAACTTAAACAAAAAGCATTAACATTGTAATATAAATCAATCCATGACTGGATATCAAATTGTTCCTCTATCAAAGATTTTGTGTTTTATTCCAGTCCACCTCCAATGTAAATTTTAGTATCTCTGTATGAAAAGATAACTCTTTCAGTCCACAAACGTCTGGAATGATTAGTAAACCATACAGACAGTACACTAATCAAACCTTTTCTTTCAGTATGATGGCAGTATCATTACTATCTAAATTTTCATGAATACAGTAATTTATAAGGCTTCTTGAGTTTCTGCCAGACATCTTCATTTAAGAACTTTGCAAGAACATACATTCTAACTTCCTGTCATATAGTTAGGATACATCTAGCAGTTGTTATTTGATGCTGAATCAAGTTGACGAACAATTGCTTCTCGGTCTTTGATGGCTTTCCAAGCAATGTCCTTATCTTTCTTTGAGGGAGTCTTCTTTTTTTGACGTGCAGCTGCTATTGTACGATATGCCTCTAAAACCTGTTGGAAAATAAAAGGGAAATGGATCAAATATTTTCACAAACTATTAACTGTTCATAATCTGAGAATATTTCCTAATTAAAAAAGAAAAAAAGTTAAAAATAACTACTCTTCAATAAAGTCATAAGGCAATTCATACAAACCTAAAATACATTCACAGAAACAAGATGGATATGTAAAACAATGTAAAAAATGTCACCAGGAAATACTGCTGAATCTACCTTTATTTTTCCTGTATATTCTCTTTTTCTACCCCACACCTAAGATTAAAGAAATTGGACCTTCATATAGTACCTTTTGATCTGCATCTCGTAGCTTCTTTTTCAAATCATGGCGAACTAGGGATTCGCGGGCTAAGGTCAGCAAACGACTTAACTGCTGCGCATTGTGGGCTGATACTGCACGTAGTTCTGCCTGACATCTCCTCAACTCTGATAGGATTTCATCATCATCGTCCTTGGACACAGGAAAGAAATAATTAATCTTTTCTTATAATTTCCTAATAAAAGAACACAAGCAGTTATTACTTGCATTAAAAGAAAATATTTAATTGAACCAACAAAAAAATATCTTACTTCATTTCCATATTCTGCCTCCAAGACCCCTTGTTCTTGAAGTTCTTTCTTAATGCGTTTCTCTAGGCTGGAAGCACTTGCCAGCCCTAGTGACCTTATCATCCCCGGTCGACTTATGCCCAGACCATCTACAGCTGCAAAGTATGCACCCTTTATCAAAATATAAATGCAAGGACCCTACACATAGCAAAATATATCTATATATATATACCAAAGTATTACTTCAGATTTGTAATATTAAATGCCATAATCAAATGAGAAGCATTTAGCTCGTCTTGAAATCTAAAAACATATATAGTGAATACATACCTTTATTTTCTATATCGGACACTAAAACATTTTCTTCTACTAAACCAGCAATTAGTCTTTGGGTCAGAGGACCAAAAGGTGCTACATCATCATTACACCTGTAGGAGAATTAAAGACCTTTTTAGAATATACAGTCTACCACAGCTATAGTTATTTCAGTGTTCCACAGAAATGTGATATGATCACTTTACATAACATAGCAAAGTCATATTTCTGAAATGAAAATTATGTATACTATTATCTATTGCATCTTTTTTTCATCTATTTAGTGCAAAAAAAATAAAAATAAAAGTCCATATTTTCTATACCTGACATGTCTTAGATCTGATGTAACACCATTTCAAACAAATGTGTGAAGTGGAGACATACAGAACAAATATATTCTACAACTTACTTTTCAATTAAACCTTGTCTGCTTCCTAAACAAAAAAATTCATACACAGTTAAACAATTATTAGAAAATATAAAGATAATGCTGGCAAAACTAATTAAAGACAGAAGAAGAAAAATTATAAAAAGTAGTCCAAATATCAAGAGGTAAACATATTTTCTAAATCATTCAAGCTGCTAATAAAAAACATAGGAAACTAACAAATATAACAGGAACTTCAAAACTCACCCATTCATATCCACTTCCTTTAACAATTTATCAGACATATCTGAACTACTTGAATCTGTCTTAACATTTTTCTTCTTTCCCTCTGCAAGTTTTACACCTTCTTTCTGTTCATCCTAGTGGGGGGGAGACAGGATTTAAAACAGGGTACATGCTGTGCAACAGCTTTAGCACATTATCATGTATAAATATGTTTATTAGTCATACATATATTTATACCATACCTATAACAAATTACTGATTGTCATCTAAATCATTTAATTCTATCTCAGATTAACAATCAATAACAATGGTGCTTTTCTTGTCATTGGGATACTTACTTGCAAGTCTTCCTGAGCCCAGCGTAATGTATAGTGTCTTCCCAGGGGAGGTGTTTTATAGTAGTCACTGTCATCATTTGGATTGTTGATCAAATCTTCGAGCATCTGTTCAATGACAAACCATTTCATTAATTTCAAGTCAAAGCCTCTACATCAATTTGCATACATCTTACCAATCCTCCAATAAATATTCACATCCAAGATAAAAGTACCATGAAACTAGACTATTCCCTATCTTTGCTCACAGAACTCCAGGTCTCACCTTTATATCATCAACAGTGATTTCTTGGCAATATTGCTCTACAGTTGCCCAGAAGCGATTGGTGATGTCATTTTTGGGTGGTGGAGGTTTGGGCTGCTCAGGAGGCCCAAGGTCAGGCACATCGAACACTGGTTCATATTTCTGTACGGAACACTTAACCTGAAAGTTTAGAGAATAAACAAAGACCATAACAAAAAACTCAAACATAGGAAAACGGCAACAAAAGAAAATGATAATACATTTCAATTAAATCAACTAATAGAAATGACTAAATCATACTATCCTTTATAAAACAATCAAATAAAAAAAAAAATAACAAAGAAAACAAAATACATTTCTGGGTTAAATAATACTAACAGAAATAAGTATGTTATACTAATCTTTAACAAACTATCAAGTAAAATAAATAATAATACATAAAACTGAAAATAAACTCAAGCAGAATATTTTACACATTTCTATACAGTAACAAAAGACTTCAGAAAATCAGAATCTCAGAAAAGTGAAGAAAAAATAATCTATGTATCCATGTTATTCACACAATATACAGTACACAAAAAATGTATTTTTTTCAAGGTAAAAGTTATCATATCACAGAACAATACAAAGAAGTTATAAAAATATATTCCACATAAAATTCAAAAAAATAAGATGAGACTGACTTTATTCACCTTGGCCGGCTTGACACCCGGCGGAGGGCCAGGGGAGGCTAGGACATCTCTCGACTTGCCGCTGGAGTCTTTCATCTTCTTAGATGGTCTGTCGGGGTCATCACGTTTCATCTTCTTCCCAGGAGACACTGGCTGTAAACAGATCAAGCAGGTTCAGCACAATATGTTGGGAGAAACTAGACTACAAAGCATATTGAAATATGAACAATGTACACCACAGTGGTACATACAGAACTACTATATATACTGTAGTTCTCCTTGACAGTGCCTACAATAAAAATATTAAAATAAAATCTTTAAATGCTTATGTAGGCTACAAATACTTTGTCTATTCCCAATCTTTTACATTCACTTCATGATTTTGTGGCACACATCATCAATGTCTATTAGACCACATATTATTACCCTACTAGAGCACAAAGTATCTCTTTCATACGTACTGTCTTGGGTACATATTTGCCCTTCTCCAGCTGGTGGATGATATTCAGCTGGTTGTTCAGGCCATTCTGCCGCACCAGGACGGACGACAGCAGCAACTCCAACTCAAGCTGGAGGCCGTCAAGCTCCTCCATGGAAACCCCTTCCGCATTCACCACTGAGGAGGATACGAAGCCACCTCTTAGCACTGGGGGGGGTTACCAGTGCCCGAACAAACAGGTAGAATCAAAGAATTAAATAAGTAAAAAGCAAATTGTCATTGAAGCCTTAAAGTTAGATCTGTAGTTCAGATTATTTTGCTTTTTACGAAGATAATAGTGAGGATGAAAATTAAGTAAATAAGTACCTTTCATGCATACCCACATAGCAACTAACACCAGAATCAATACTTGTTAAACATAGTTTTATATATATATAAAAAAAAAGGCAAGACATATATACAATACATATATACATAAAAAAAAATCATACTTAGAGTAACATATAGCGCCCCAGACAAGGTGAGACATATTAGTAATCAGTCTATCAAAAAAGCAGAAGCATGGAGATAACTGTGAGTGTAAGTTTGAGATTGGTGAGATTGAGGTTGGGTTGGGTTTAGGGTTGGGGTTTGGTAGTGGGGTTGCAGTTGGGTTAGGGTAAGATCTGGCCTGGGGCTAGGGCTAGCTAGGGTTAGGATTAATTAGAAATAGGATTAAGACTGGATCAGATGTAGGATGAGTCACCATATTAATCAAATAAACATTCTCCAAAAAATAAAACATCAAATATGCTTTATTTATTCCTAGAGCATCTAAAATTCTAATACTAAAATCTCAAGCTTTCCAAAACCCATTCCTTTAAAACTGACATTTTGGGTTTGATTCATTCCATTCAAATAGCCATAAAACCCCCAAAATTCATTCAGCTTATCATTTCACCAGCCATGCCTTTACTTCATTAACCTCTCTTGAAGTGCCCATACATTAACTGACTTCTGGGCACCAACTTGTAGTGGGCTTCCCATACACATATGAACATATTTTCCTTACCTCATCTCCGAAACCTCTTCTAAGTTTATCCTCTTAACTTAAGGTAACCTTAAAAATAATGCAATGGTAAAAAGTGGAAAAACAGTATGAATATAGAGCTGAAACTGTATAAAATCTGATCTCTTTTTCAAAATAAAATCAACAAATCAAGAAAATGCCAAAGTAAATTGGCAAAATATATGATTTTTACCACGCATTGGCATCTTAACTTCCAAGTAAGATTATTTGAAGTAACAAACACTACAATTAGATATAGAAAGAATTAAGAAAATATGTTACAGCTACAGTCCTATGTTAAAATGCATAAAATGCAGCAAAGGATACTTACAGGCTGTGTAACGAGGTAATGACCTGGTATGGTCCAAGGCACCAACCACGGGTAGAGTCAACGGGCAATCTTTGAGTTCCATTGGATCATCCCTTTTGCCACTGCTGTTGTTGCAGCTGCTACTGCTGCTGTTGCTGCTGGTACTGCTGCTGCTACTACTGCTCCCATTGTTGCCACTACTTCCACTGCTGCTTCCACTACTACCAGACCGTTCCTTGTCCTTATGACGGAAGAGTTTTCCCGATGACTTGTGAACACTTTTTGATTTATTTGGTGATGGTGGCATCATACCTGAAATAATCATAGCATGAAAACTAAAAAATATATATATATATATATATATAACAAATAAGAGATATGAACATATGTACAAATAAAAGCATTCCCATGTTCTGAAGATAGGCTATTCAATCTAAAGAAAATGAGAAGTCAGCTACTGTAAAATTTCAGCTGAGACCAGAGCCAGTCACTGTACAACTATACTTGTCCAAAAATAGTGTTACTGGATACTTAGACAAAAAGGAAATGCAAATACAGGAAGTGGAAGCATCCTTGTCCTAACTTTAAGCATGCATTGTAAGCACATATAAAGACTGCAAGTGTACCTTTTCCACTTTCACTGCCACCTCTCAAAATGAAAACAATGAAACTCAACCTCTTCTGAACAAAATCTTTGTTGATTTTATTCCTGTAATTTAAGCTTATGAATGTTGTATGACTGAGAAAGCATTCAACTTTTTGAGAGAGAAAATAGGCCCTTCTCTAGGAATTCCATAACTACTGTACAGAGGTTAATCTTAGATCATTATAGTCCCATTGTTGCCACTACTTCCACTGCTGCTTCCACTACTACCAGACCGTTCCTTGTCCTTATGACGGAAGAGTTTTCCCGATGACTTGTGAACACTTTTTGATTTATTTGGTGATGGTGGCATCATACCTGAAATAATCATAGCATGAAAACTAAAAAAAATATATATATATATATATATATATATATATATATAACAAATAAGAGATATGAACATATGTACAAATAAAAGCATTCCCATGTTCTGAAGATAAGCTATTCAATCTAAAGAAAATGAGAAGTCAGCTACTGTAAAATTTCAGCTGAGACCAGAGCCAGTCACTGTACAACTATACTTGTCCAAAAATAGTGTTACTGGAAACTTAGACAAAAAGGAAATGCAAATACAGGAAGTGGAAGCATCCTTGTCCTAACTTTAAGCATGCATTGTAAGCACATATAAAGACTGCAAGTGTACCTTTTCCACTTTCACTGCCACCTCTCAAAATGAAAACAATGAAACTCAACCTCTTCTGAACAAAATCTTTGTTGATTTTATTCCTGTAATTTAAGCTTATGAATGTTGTATGACTGAGAAAGCATTCAACTTTTTGAGAGAGAAAATAGGCCCTTCTCTAGGAATTCCATAACTACTGTACAGAGGTTAATCTTAGATCATTATATGGAAATGGTGTGTGATGAGTATTCAAACATTAAGCAAGTCAACATCTGTTTAGCATTTCTATACTTTACGGATAACAGTTTTGCAACAATTCTTATTTTGCACTCTATATCTAAAATGCATAAAATGCAGCAAAGGATACTTACAGGCTGTGTAACGAGGTAATGACCTGGTATGGTCCAAGGCACCAACCACGGGTAGAGTCAACGGGCAATCTTTGAGTTCCATTGGATCATCCCTTTTGCCACTGCTGTTGTTGCAGCTGCTACTGCTGCTGTTGCTGCTGGTACTGCTGCTGCTACTACTGCTCCCATTGTTGCCACTACTTCCACTGCTGCTTCCACTACTACCAGACCGTTCCTTGTCCTTATGACGGAAGAGTTTTCCCGATGACTTGTGAACACTTTTTGATTTATTTGGTGATGGTGGCATCATACCTGAAATAATCATAGCATGAAAACTAAAAAAAATATATATATATATATATAACAAATAAGAGATATGAACATATGTACAAATAAAAGCATTCCCATGTTCTGAAGATAAGCTATTCAATCTAAAGAAAATGAGAAGTCAGCTACTGTAAAATTTCAGCTGAGACCAGAGCCAGTCACTGTACAACTATACTTGTCCAAAAATAGTGTTACTGGATACTTAGACAAAAAGGAAATGCAAATACAGGAAGTGGAAGCATCCTTGTCCTAACTTTAAGCATGCATTGTAAGCACATATAAAGACTGCAAGTGTACCTTTTCCACTTTCACTGCCACCTCTCAAAATGAAAACAATGAAACTCAACCTCTTCTGAACAAAATCTTTGTTGATTTTATTCCTGTAATTTAAGCTTATGAATGTTGTATGACTGAGAAAGCATTCAACTTTTTGAGAGAGAAAATAGGCCCTTCTCTAGGAATTCCATAACTACTGTACAGAGGTTAATCTTAGATCATTATATGGAAATGGTGTGTGATGAGTATTCAAACATTAAGCAAGTCAACATCTGTTTAGCATTTCTATACTTTACGGATAACAGTTTTGCAACAATTCTTATTTTGCACTCTATATCTAAAATGCATAAAATTTTGAGGAAACATAACTCTAAAGGGCTGACCCCTTCCAGGGTTAATCAGAGATCAAGGGAACATCTCTGCACTTTATGCTTTCTCTTGCCTAAGAGATATAATCTTGGGACTTACCAATTAATCCAGAAGGTCATTGTTATATTATTGATTAATATAATAAACTATAGAAAAAATAGCTATTCTATTCCTCTTCAATAAAAAATGCAATATGATTTCCTTTACAAAACAATTATCATGATTTTCATCATGTGCATCTTGCATCTTTAATCCTATATATATTTGTGAATTGTGAGTCACATATTTGTGAATCAAGCAAGATTTAATAAATGAAATGACAGTGTTAATGCTGCTACCAGGAATTTCATGATGAAACTGCCTTAAAACAGCATTATCTACCTCTTCATTGTATATAAATAGGGCTTTGGAAAAAGTCAGGGCCAAGGATTATTATGAAGCAAGTCTTGAAGATTGTCTGAAATAAATGAATATCAA